AGTAAACCGGGCTGCAGTTCTTCCCCATCCTGCTAGGGATGCTGTTGTAACAGGGAGAGGGTCCCCCTGTCAGGATGGAGGATAGAAGAAGACATACAAAGCTTGTGAAAATCACTTTCACTTTTAATAACATCCCGCTGGATGTTATCGGGGCATCCAGGAGAAATACTGAAGGCTGCCAGGGTGCGACATCTCCCACTTGCTTTGAAACCTTCTGTCCCTGTTTGATATTCTGAGTGTGGTATTGACTTTTGCGCTCAATTGGACACCGTTGCCCCAGCAACGCTCTGCCAGCTCGTTTATCATCGCCATTTAAGAGAAGAGCAGTAATCCGGCAGATCTGTCCCAAAATCCAGCCGTTTCCAAAAGGAGAGGCAGATCAGAGAGTGGAAGCAGAGGGCTCTACACCTGTCTGGTTTGAAGTCTTGTGAGCTGGGAAATATTGATATACCAGGGGGTAGCATGAGACGGGATTAGTCCCTCCTCTGATATCTGTGGGCTGTGAAGCTACCAATTAGCAAGCACTGTCAAGATATTGCCTGTCCCCTCGTGGGATTGTGGGAAGCTTGCTTGAACACCCAGGGGATTGTGGGAAAGAACAGCAAGAGTGCTGTCAGGTGAAAGCAACCTAGTGGTCTAACCTCCGGGGATTGTGGGAAATTTTGCGTGATAACCCGCGGGACACCGAGAAGCTGCGGAGGGAGCCCATGGGATTGTGGGAAGTTCTGGAAGTGACAGGGAAGCGAAGATGATGAAAGTTGTTGCATGGCAGTTCTGACAGCTTCCTGGTATGAAAAATGAGGTGACAAAATATTTAATATGAATTTATGAGAAGCCTGCTGACATTGCTACTGGTAGTTGAGTGAATTATTGGAGGAATATGGATAAAGGAAGAAGCAGGGATGCCAGTGTCCTCCAGAGTTCATATCCTGTCACAAATGCTCTCTTCAAGCTCCGTCCAAGTTTATGAAAAAGAAGCTCCCTGCTTTCATAGCTAAAAGGCATGTGATTTAATACTCAATATGGGGGATGAAAAATGACATTTTGTGTGAAACTCAGAACAATCAGAATATGAATACCACTACATAGTACAGACATTTAGAAATTAATTTCATACATATGGCATTCTAGATGATAAAGTACGCTTTTGTGTAGATATAATTTATCTGTATCAAGGCAGTACTGTTCATCGGAATAGTCTGACAGCGTTGTATGAACACCTGCTATGTAAACATCTGTTGTTGTATGTAAATCAAAATGTCAACAGCCAAGGGCATCTCACCAAAAGAAGCAGTTAACTCTCCGAGTGTCAAGTTTGATTACAAATAAGCATTGTATTCATCCCATGACATTGGATGGATAAATTGTAGATCCTCTCAACAATGAATTTATCATTAGAAAGTACATATATGAATATATGATACCAACGACATTATATATAATTATAATTATACTACTAGCATTTTAAAGTCCTTAGGCCACACCAATTTAATTTCTTGGTTAACGGATTCGCCGCTTCATTTTTTTCTGATTTGCAAATAAAAATAAAAATCCAGAATCAAGTGCAAAATGCTCATATTTTGCCCTGAACAGTTGAAAACAGACCTTTTCATCCTAGTTGTTACAGTTATTCCATCTTTCAATGCAATGGTATCATTAAAAGTTAAAAATTCATTGTTAAAATTTTGAATCAGCCTGGTGTGTTGACTTCATGGCTCCTATCGTACCATTTTGGGCCATAATACGATGCCTAGGCCTGTTTTGATTTGTTTTTATTTTTATTTTTTTTCGCCCGCCCGCTCCATTATTTTTCTACAAAAATCCGTTAACCAAGAAATTAAATTGGTGTGGCCTTAGTGATGCTTTTCTACTGATTGATCTGTGTTTCCTTTCTGTAGTACATTTGATTATCCACAGATTTGAATTCAAATTTGTTCAGATGGTGAGTCCATAAACTAACAAAATGTTGGTATGCTACAAGTATATGTAATGTGTTTCAGAAAGGCTGCTTTTTTATAATTCTATTTAACACATTTCAAGGTGCAGATGAACCTACTTGACCATTAGTCAGAGAGTTAACCTTCCTCATGATTGAGGGCATGGACACACCAGGGATTTTGTATTCAAAGACACAGACTACGAAACTTGCCATCTAGTCACTCTGAACAGATCTATATAAACTGTGACCACTGCTTCAGACATTTACTTGTAATAACAGTATTTTTTATTACATTAGAATCATTTCATACAATCAAAAACTCAAGAGAAAAGGCCAAAAAAATTTTGTCTTCAAACTTCAACTTTTTTGTCTTCTCTTTTTAAAATGATGTGAATTTTTTTCTGGAGAATTTCCTCTGACCTCTGGTTGAACCCATCTATTCAGTCCCAATCTGCATACAAATAACCCACACCACCCCTAGTTAAAAGGGTGTTCTTTGATTCTGTACATACCAAAGGACCCTGTTTGAAGTGGAAATCTCTTCTTCAATTATTCATTCTTCTTAATTGGTATTGATTTTTTTTGCAGAGACAATTATTGTATACATTGTTTCATTACTGCAAAAGGGCTTTATCAATAAGCTAGCCCTACTGGAACAAATTTTATTATGATTTTGTTGAATTATTTGTGCTTCAGTATCAAAACTTGGCTGAAAAAACATGAAAAAGAGGTACTCAATTATAATAAATTCCCATTTGAAAAAAAAGTACCAAAAATCTAAAAATCTTTTCTTTACAGACCTCACTGTGGCTTATTCAAATAGTGCAAGGAGGTTGAAAATCTAGAAGGCTGAGAGATAATCAAAGTAGGTTTGACACCATCCCTGAAGTACCTACTTTTCTGGGGCTTGAGTTTTGGCACCTCAGAACAATGGTGTTCTGGAGTTAATGATCTCCTTTGTCAATAAATGTAATCCCCCTCATCATGCCTGACACAGTAGGGCGGTGTACCTGCTATTCATTACCACATTGACACGTTGCTGTCAAGTATTTCTTTGAATACTGATCACAGACCCCTGCATAGAGAGATGTGTATTGGGCAGCAATTCAGGTTCAGATCCTTGTTACCATTTTGACTGTTTTCAGTTCATGGATAGTTCGAGCCTGATAGTTCAACTGTACATTTACTATTCTAGTTCCTTAGGCAATTTAATTTCTTGGTTAACGGATTCGCCCGCTTCATTTTTTTCTGATTTGAAAATAAAAATAAAAATTCAGAATCAACTGCAAAATGGTCATATTTTGCCCTTAACAGTTGAAAACAGTCCTTTTCTTCCTAGTTGTTACAGTTATTCCATCTTTCAATACAGTGGTATCATTAAAAGTTCAAAATTCGTTGTTTAAATTTTGAACCAGTCTGGTGTGTTGACTTCATGGCTCCTATCGTACCATTTTGGGCCATAATAGGATACTACTACCTAGGCCTGTTTTTTTTTTTTTTTCGCCCGCCCGCTCCATTATTATTCTAGAAAAATCCGTTAACCAAGAAATTAAATAGGTGTGGCCTTATTCATAAGTTATTCTTAGTCAGCTCTCTACAAGATCAAGAGGAAATTAAAGTCAGTTTGTGGTGTGAATTTCTAAAAAGCTTATAATTATAATAAAAATCAAGTTTTAACTTGGGTGAAGGAAATATTTTGATCACCTTTAGAATCAACAACTTGCACCAATCATAATTATCTTGAAACCTATTAGTTATGTAATTAATGAATGTCTTTGAACATTATTGGAATAATCCGTATTCATTTTTTCACCAAGATCAGTCTGATTATTTCTATGCGTGTTTATAAGTATGATGACTGCTACCACACCAAGGCAAAAAAATGCCAGCAGACAACAGCACTTGCACAGACAGAGCTTGATTTTATTTCAGACTTCTATTCTATAGACATGTTTGGTTTGAATATACAATGGCCTTATTCTTGAACTGTTGTGACTGTATCAAGCTTGGAAGATTGTTATCTTCACTATCCTTTCTGTCATTCTCTCAAAACCCTCCTAACAAGTCAGGTACCTACATTGTCATTAACTCTCCCCGCTTTATAGAGAGATGTTTTTTGATGACACAGCATTTCATCAACCACGTGACATAGTTACAGATTAAAGATGTACTTTCAATGCATTTATTAGTCTTTTTGGCCTTCACTTTAGAACAGAGTTTTACTCCAACTTACGTTTTGTATGTTCAAAAGTCTCTTGAATCACACCTAGTTCTAATGCTTTGTTCCTCCTACAAATTTTGGAGAGTAAATACTAGTGCGTTACCTTGAAGAGCGGTTGTACCTGCCATTCAGATAAAGATGCTGGAAATTTAAACGAGATATCACTAGAGTTTGCGCATTTAAATACAGCATACAACACTTGAGAGTCAGTTAATGCATCCAACTCTGTTACTGACATTTTGGGAAGCTGAGCAGTAGCTTCTACTGTCAAACTACCACTCGAAAAACACAGGTTTCTCTGCACATCACAGACAAATAAAGGCATACAAACATCACCTTGATGTGTAACACATCTGCAACTTATTTTTCAACAAACATTATGTAGAGCCAACATTCTATCTAGGGTTCTAGCCAGCTCAAAATCTTTTCCCGTCAGCCCCGGTTTATGATCAGACCTGGGGGAAGAGTGCTTGCAATCTAGGGGGATCCAGGGTCAAATTTTGGATTTTCAAGCCTTTAGAAATGCAGTTTCCTACATTTTTAGAGACAAATCATGGGGTTGAGAGTGGTTGTTGGTGGTCATTTGGATGTTTTTATATTTTTACTCAAGATTTTTGTCTATCAAGGTTGACGGATTGGTTGAAAAAATTTTCCGTCACACGCCAAAAAAGTTCCTGCAATTGACGGAAAAACGGGTGCTGGCTAGAGCACTAATTCTATCCCCCCTGTTTTGAACTACTTGAAGCTTAGTTCTGATAAACACTCAACATACTACTCCTTGGGTCCCCTTTCCCTCTCCTCAAAGAACTTTTTCTCGATGTGTCTGCAGAAGTTGATGAGGTTTCCGTACTCCTTGACGATGTCTGCCAGACAGTTGTCTGTGAGTGGGGTGGTCAGGATGGTGTACAAATGGCCAAACACTAGAGCATCAAGTTCTGTGGGGCTGTGGAGACAGGAATTATTCCATCAGAAATACAATTTTTTTTTACATTCCAACATTTATCACTAGACATGGCGACGGCACACTCAAATTTTTTCAACTTATTTTTATGCTGCCACCAACACAGACTAATGCAAAAACAGACAAAAGACACACTCATTTTCACCTGAGAAATTCTTTCCCAAGGGCACAAAATTGGTGGCATGGCAGGATTTGAACCTGGGACCCCTTGGTTCCAGCAAGCCAAATGCTCTGTCCTTACCCAACAACAGCCACACGACCCCCACAAATGCATGTACAAATTTGGAACTGTACCTCTACATCACCCAGCAAAAAGAATATGCCAAATTTGAAATTGATATCTCAATGATAGATATCTCAGGTGATTTATGAAATACGGCTACTAGTGAAACTTACAGGTACTTTCAACATAATTTGAATTGTATGGCTTTCTATATGGTGTAATGTATTGGCTGAATGTGTGTAGCACAAAAGGTGTTCCTTGATATTTTGAGGTAAGGAAAAAATTGTTATCTCCACTCAATGCATTGGCGACAAGTTAACTGCGGCATTAGCAGCATTTTGAATTCAGTCATACAATTCACTTCAATGTTATTTGTTAGTTGTAGAAATGTTCAAACAGTAACTCCTTCAGTCAATGACAAATCTGTTAGAAATAAAAGTGTGTTACATGTACTGTAACATTACCGATAACAGGGGTTGGTGGAAAAAGTAGTCCACAAGGCGGAAAAAGCAGTCCAGTCTGACAAAAGGGTCTGCATGGGGGTTCATGGCAAGGCCTAATGCTAAACTCAGTACGATTGGCAACATTTATCCAAGTTGATTGTTTCCAGCTGGTCAAACAATATCTAACTCTACTGTACATGTTTTTTTCCACCTTTGGACTGGACTGCTTTTTCCTCCAACCCAACAGAAAGGGGAACCTTCCTAATGTTATGCAAAGTGCGATTCTCCAAGCAGATGTTGGGGAGGAAGATCATAATGTTATCTGACTACCTGGCATCTCTGACAGCAACCCAGCCAGACATAACATTGAGGTGGACTGCTGTCAATGAGGCCTGGCAGTCTGAAAACATTATGATCTTCCGCCATACATCTGCTTGGAGATTAGGAACTGCATGTTATGGATAGACAGTTTTGAACAGGGAAACTAATTAAGTATAGATTTTGATGAGAGGTTCATATATAGTCACACTGAGACACTGTTGTTAAGTCATATCCAAGCTGTCAAAGGAGTATAAAACCATGGATTAAGAGAGAGTCTTGAAGCCGTTTATGTTGTCTAAGGAACTTGAGTGAGTCCATCTATAAGAACCTATGAGAAAGGTGACAGAAAACCCAGTTAGAGTGGCGGAGGTGCACACAAGACGTGGCCAGGAGTGCAAACCCTGCGTATACCCGCGTCACTTGCTTCTCTTGCGGAAGAACCTCTTTTCAATGCTGATGCAGAAGTTGATGAGGTTGTCGTACTGCCGAACTATGTCCACCAGGAAGTCACCGGGGAGGGGGGTGGTGAGTATGGTGTACAAGTGGCCAAACATTACAGCATCAAGCTCCGTGGGCCTACAGGAGACACGTTTATTTATCTATTTATGAAGATTTATCCCATTTGTGGAAGGAATTGACATAACAGTTGACTAACGCCTCTTCAAGATGTCAACCCTGAGACCAGACTGTAAGGTTTGAACCACGCACACCGAAGGAAGGACCTGTGCTTTTTCTGTGGTATCTTTAACATGCCCAAGGTGTGTCCCTCCTTAAAGTCAGGACCTCCAGCCTTACGTCTTATCCTCAGGACGTCCATAACCGAAGCTAGGGATCTTAGCAAGGTGGCATGCATCGCTGGTGCTTCCAGAAAAGGCGATATAAGCAAGGTTTATACATCTGTCAGTGTTGGATAATCTCGCCGTACCATCAATTACTTAACCAACCAAATAACCAATCAAACAATTACGACTAACCAAATCAATCAAAAGTAGACTCCACTAAGCAATGTCCCGCTTCGACTGGTTGAATGATGTCTTTACATCTCACTGTAATGTCAGCGTATTAATCATTGACTTTTCAACAGTTACTAGGACCCTTATTTTCACCAGTACTAGTGAAGAGACAGAAAGATGCCAACAGTGAAGAGAATATTAACTGAAAAATTCATACGAATGGATAATTATGATTTTTCTTTGCAGGTTGACCTTTGCCATGGGAGAAGTGAATAAATTCTGATTCCTACTCCAAGCAGCTTTCTTCCAAACTACCTACCAATTGTTACATTAGAAATTGTTAGCAAACTGTCTTTCTAGTTTTTATGTTCATTTTAGGGTGACATGTCTTCATTGATTTTTGTTTTGGAACTCAATAATAAAGATTATTTAAAAAAGTTGTACTCACCCCTGTTTGAAGAAATAATGGTGGTTCCCGAGCCGTTGTGACAGGGCCTTACAGCAATTGTCCACCTCATCATATACCTACAGCAGGGACAAACACAGGTAAGGGCATTTCATATCTCTGTAATTATAACTTATCAATGAAACCCCAGGCATTAGTAAATCCATGTATTACTATAGTCTGCAAAATTCACAAAAATCCCATGAATTATGAAAAATATCATTTCTCCTATTTTTCTTTTTAAACTTTTTTTGTACAGCTGTCTTAATTAAATTCTAGTTGCTTGTGTTTTGAAATAAAGGAGATTTTTTTTTACAATTTGTCCATCTATTGAGCTGGTGATTTTTGATACGTGACAGTTTTAGACTACTAGGGTAATCATGTCCAAGGGTTGTAGATATATGAAGTAAATTAACCCTAGTCAGCTGACATAGTTCTCAGTTCTCACCACAATCCTGCAAAACCGGTTGCTTGTTTTGTATCATAGACTGGTTTTAGCTATTCATGGGTGGTACCCAAAAAATAAAGAGACGCATCACGTGGCTTGTTTTGGGACTATTTCAAATGCTTCAAGTATTAAATGATTATCATAATGAAAATGTGACAAGTAATGTCAGTGAGTGTCAATATCAGACAGATTTTCTCATCCAGAATATTTTTTTGCCACCCTGAAATTGCATTAGATACTCTACCTTGAAGGACACACTAGAGCCACATTCATGTAGTTTCATAGAGTTTGTTTGACTGTGTGACTGGTCATCTTCTAAAGTAGGTAGATTCCGCACATTAAAAAACGGTTCTACATTCTACTAAAAATTGTCAGAATCTTTTCAGGAAAAGTCCTCTGACCTCCTCGAGACTCTTGCTGCACCATCCCAGTGCCTTGAGTTGGTTCTGGACGTCCCATTGTTTACGGTAGGCCAGGACGGTGTTCAGTGGCCAGGGGTAGGGGGAACTGTACCTCGGTCTGCTGATCTGTAAAATTAATGTATAGAGAATATTGTTAATTGAGAAAGTTCATTGTGCAATTTTTGATATCATTACCTTTGCCAAGAAGGTTATGTTTTCCATAGTGTGTGTGTGTGTGTGTGTGTGTGTGTGTGTGTGTGTGTGTGTGTGTGTGATAAAGCATGATAAAATAAGGTTTCAATGAATTGTCATGAAACTTGGTAGGTGGGTAGGTCTTGATAAGACCTCAAAATGATGAATTTTTAGGCCCCATGGCGGGTTCTTATGGTACTGCAGCCGAACTTCTGGTTTCAATATCTCGCAATCTAGACATGCTATAGGGTGATGAATTTTGGACAGTAGGTAGGTCTTGTACTCGGGAAGGAGTCATGTGAGTTACATGACTACAATTTTTTCAGAGAATACATGAAAACTGCCATCCAGCTGAGTCTGTCTTAGTCAAATCCATCCCAAACTTCACACACACGACGGGAACAGCTGGGCGCCTGTCCTAAGCTCGCCAGGATAATAGCTCTGCAACTACCTGATAATCTTCCAGGAAGATAAGAAACAGTTTCAAATCTTGTTTAGCCCCCACCTGACAGGCCTGAACCTTTGAATAAATCATTTAAGGCCACAGCAGTCCCTGGGAGAGACTAGGTGATAATCTGGGTTTTCGCACAGCTGAGTGAAGTGATTTCAGAACCGGGTCGCGTATGGCGTCAGTGGGTTTCCTGCGGTCGGGTTGTTAAAAGGGTTGGGATGGTGGATAGCTGGCGGGATTCGGTTTAACAAGATGGCAAGTGTATCTGATGGAAGCGCAGGCTCCCAGAGTCAACTGTTGAGCCGGTCAACTCCCCACAGACGTCTACCTGTCAGCGACGGAATTAATTTCAGGCAGAAGCAGAAGTTGTGATGAAACTGCTTGATTACCGTTGGGGTGCCTTGCTAATTTTATCTGCTAGGACACACGCTATCCGATAGGACTCCACCTTTCAAAGTGTGCGCCCTGAGCTAGATTGAACAAAATATTTAATAAGAGAGCTGTCAAACGGCATGTTAGGTAATTTGGGAGGTTACATTTTCAAATGAAACTTCAGGCAAAGTGCTGTTGACTTTGCTGTCACCTTTCCTTTTAGAAGTAAAGTTCTTACGGAAACTTAACCCCTTGCATCTCTTTTCATATTTGTTGGGGGTAACAGATCAGAAGTGAAGTACAGATAAGAAAAAAGAGCTATACTTGGACCTTATTTTTCCTGTTTGTTAATCAATTTATTCAATTTTTATTAATTTTTAAAGATGAAAGCCGGCAAATTATTTGTTCATGGTAATGATACATTTGCAACACAGAAGTGACCGCAAAAACTTCTAATATAAAATTCTTATTTACTGTAATACCATCAATGGCTCTTTCACCTGAGTTCAAGCATATACATGTACTATATATGTACAGTATACACTGTATACAGTATATAGAAAATAAAGACAGTTAAGAAAGACCAAACTGTGACATTTTAACATAAAACAAAGTGTACTCAGACTTTCTATCTTTGTTTCTGGTGTCTGATATCCCCAGAGTTGCGCTGGTTGTGCCTAATGAGAATGATCCCGCTCAGTTTCCAATAAAGCTCATCTCGAGTAATTAAAGAAGTGTCTCAGGAAGGGGCGGAAGCAATTTTCCACCACAAATGGAAGGAAGATCATCTCTTCACAGGGGAATTTACAAGGAATTAGGGGAAGACATTGCGGTCGGTGTCTTCACGGAATTCAGGTCAGGCTAAGGTGGCCTTGTTAATCAGAACACAGGCTGAATTAAGTGGTGAATTATGTTGCATAATGTAATGGATTTAAGGCATGTTATAAGTGAATCCCTTCACATGATATCAATCATTGTGTCATCACAACAGCTACTTCACAGCAGGACAAGGGACACAAGGGACCCACATTGTCAAAGAAAGTAAGAAACCTTATAAAAATGTCATTACAACTAGGTAACAAGTATCAATTACCTTCAGATATCACTGAATAATACAATAAACAAAGAAATTTGTCATTTTGTCAACAAAGCCTACTGTATTTACTAATTTTATCAGTCTTAATTTTTGTATTTAGGGTAAACCTTTCTGAAGAAACTGATTTCTTTGACTTACCTCACTTGCAGTTGTTGGGTCACACCATGAGATGTAGAGCTGTGATAACACAACAAGCAATGGTTGGAAGTTATATATCTGGACAAAGTTCTTTACAGTGTTTGAAATGGCACAATGTTCTGCATTGGAGAGCGAATAGCATAAAACTTTAGAAAAAGTGACTATCTTTAAGGCAAATCACACAAAAATTGAGGAAGTGTAGTGTCTCTAAACAAAATATTGTAACATCATCAATTCCAACGTTTGAATCTGGTATTTGAATTTTTAAAAGACGGCACACGCGGTATATCTGAAACTTACTCAAATTATTCTGTGGAACTTCTGAAAGCCCATGTGATAACCGTTAGAACACTGTGTGATAACTAGCCAAATCACATGGGCAGGAACACCTGTATTGAACATTCTCACTACCCAGGTATATACATATATGACATATATGACATAATAGGTTTCCTTAGAACAAAGGTTAACAATTAAGACAATGACAATGACATTAAAGACAATATAGCAGTAATCACATTCAAGTTTCTAGCAACTTTTAAACTCCCCATTCTCTTTGTCTTGATTTGAAGACATTCTTGAAACATTGATTCTGAAAGTTATTTTAATCAGGCCATATCAATGCATTTCCTTGGTTCTTGGAAATTTTAAGTTCAAACTATGGCAAACAGACATCATAAAACCAGAGGGCAAGGAGGAAAACTCAAATATGAGTGTATTTACAACATAAAACTGCGTCCACCAAGGCATCAACCTGGTCCTCAGACTTTGTTTTCATTAGGTTTTTTCCGGTTAATCATATCTTTAAAAAATCTGAGAACTACCAAATCAAATTGATAATTTTAATCATGAATTCTTCAATCAGTGCCCACGTGTGTGTAAAAAAAACATGTATGAGAAATTTTTAAAATTTCTATTGCAGGTTACATTTTGCTGAAAAGTCTGCGCAGCAAGTTATGAAATTATCCATGCCCCAAGTATCATTAATCCAAGACAGGGCAAGATCGGATACCCCCCCCCTCCAGAGACAATATCCAATACTCCGCTAACAAACAAACATATCACAGCAGAGCAGCTCTTTCCGGGGCTGACCCCTGCCCCAGGCGTTACCACCAGCACAACAGAGCAGGACGGCAGATCAATATGGTCAATATGCTGAGGCAGTGCAAGACCTGCACCACCTACGGGCCTGAATATTATCAAAGTCTGACAGAATAAGG